AATTATTATTTATTATTATTTATTAATAATGATGATAATATTCATTACTACTATTAATATAATTATTGTTATTACTATTATTAGTAAATAATAATGATTAATATTTTAATTATTATTATTATTATTATTATTATTATTATTATTATTATTATTATCATTATTATTATTAATTACTATTACTGTTATTATTAAGTATGATGATAATAAACTATTATTACAATTCATTATTATTATTTATTAATGAATAATGATAATAATAATTACTCCGTACTATATTTATTATTTTAATATTATTATTTATTTATTTAAAATTAATTATTTTTTAAAATAATTTTTAAGATTTGAATGCATCCGATTTGAATGCAGTAGAAATAAGTTGTAGAGAACAAAACCTAAATCTACATATTTCATTTTAAAAAATAGATAAGTTTATCCTAGAAAATAAAAAATGGAGAAAAGTAATGTGTGGATTAATTTAAATACTCCCTCCTCAAAATGTAAGCAACATTTTACTATTTAAAAATCATGAAAAGTTTTATTTATTTTTGCATTTTTATTGATTATTTGATCAAATAAAATATATTCTTGTCACTACTTATTTTGTAAAACTTTTGACATAGGTTTTGAATATATAAATTTAATTTTTATTTGTAAACAATTCTTTAAATAAAATGGATTAAAAAATTCAAAAAAATTACTTCATTTAGCATAATGTTAATTGCTTACAGAGTTTTGTCATAAATACAGTGACTTTAGCAATGAGACAAATAGATTTCAATGCCCAATCAAATATTGTTGCAATGATTTACAAACGAAATTTACCAAAAAACTATAAAAGCAAGGAAATCTACAACAAAATTGTAAGGTACAAAAGTCCAGTAAAAAGTCTAGTAAAAGCAGGAAAAAAAATCAAACTTATAAAAGTTTGGGTAAAACTTGAAAGGATAAAACGTACTAGATGTAAAAAAAAATCATAATTGGAGTAGAAAAAATGTGCTCCCAATTAGTATTTTTACTTTTTTAAGTAAAATGTTTAAAAGCAACAAACTTATTAGAAACAATAATAAAATTGTGCTATCGTGATCTTAAAATTTATATATGAAATGTGATTTTTTCACATTTTGTATGTGTTCATAATTAGATCTTTTTTTACAAGTTATAGTAGATTTATGAGATTATTACATGAACAGTTGAACACCCCTTGTAGTTTGCTAAATGTGCACCGCTACTCACTATTGTTTCAAAACTTACACTGGTTTTCCTCGTGGTTCTGATATTGCTACGTCAATGTCCCTCTAGACTAAAATATCTTTCAAATATTATGTGAATGTTGGAACTCGTGTGGATGCAATTTCAAACTTAACATTGCATTCCACACTGCCAAAAAATGTGTTTAAAGTTGGTATACATTTTAAGAATATGGGCATAAACAATGTTGCATACCCAATGTAACATGTATACGCACTGCCAAAGCATGATCATTCTACACTGCCAAAAAATGTGTTTAAATTGGTATACACTTCTAGAACATGGGCATAACACACTGTCAAAAAGTGTGTGTAGTTAAAAGTATTGAACCATAACACACTGCCCAAAATAAAGGCATAACACACTGCTAGAAAGTGTAGGCATGCCATGACCATTCCACACTGCCAAAAAAGGGTATGATTGGAAGAGATCCATGCCATAAATAGCTAAATGTGTGAAAAATCATAAGAAGATCTATATGTGTAATATTGGATGTCTTAGAGTGCTAAATAGGGTGATTTTTATTTTGAAAATTAGCACAATTTCTATTATTTTTTTATCAATGTTTTTTATTTTCCTTTTTAAGTATATTTTTAATAATATTTTAGTAGTCAAAATTTTTTGTGTTTGCAATAAAAATTAATTAAATAAAAAGAATTAACGTACGCTTCATTTGTCTCAAATTAAATATTTTCATCTTTTATCCAAAAGAGGTATTTATTTGTTCATTTTCATGATATGAAAATTAATGAACTATTCTCTTTTTTCCACTAAAGCTCATTTCTCATTTTATGTTTATTAATTTTATACCGTTTCTTTTATTTTAATCAGAATTAAAATAAAAGAAAAAATAGAAAAGAAAAAGAAAAATACATCAAAAAATACCTTTATAGAATAAGGATAATTAAGTCATAATGCTAATATATTCAAAAGACATTACTAAATATTCTTTTGGTGCTGTGGTGGTCCCCAAAGTGGTGAGATACAAAGTCTAGAGAGGGGGTGAATAGACTTTGTTACAAATTTAAAACTTTTTCGTTTCTTTTGAAAACGTGAAAATGAGTGTTAATCTAGAGTCCTTGTGAACTTTAGATTGTGTGCGGAATAGAGTGAGCAGTAATCAATATGGATGGGTTAGTTTTCACAATTAATATAATTGCAAGTAAGAGTAAAGATAAAAGAGAGAGACACGCAAACTTTAACGAGGATCGAAGGTGGGGTAATCCTTCTACGTCCTCAAAATCCACTATGTAGTTGGTTGTTGACTAATGAACCAACAATTACACTTGTGTGAATTTCTGCACGGTATATCTTTGCAAGGCCAATGTTGCTACTGCACTCGTGCTGGCTTTGTTGTTCCTTCGAAGGTCACGCTTCTTCAACAACTGCAACGTCCGAACAATAGGACTTGCAAGATCAACTTGTAAGAAAGTTGACCTACCCCCTTTCAATCAAGAAGTTTGATCAAAAGTTGTATCCTTCAACGTGGTGTGGTACTTGAGGCAAGGAAACCTTCAAGTGTTTACACTATAGCTCTTT